CACACACACACACACACACACACACACACACACACACACACACCCCACACACCCTCACATACACATCCCAGAGTCTGAAACAATGAGGCACATATTCACACCCCACCAACCATGTGTCCTAACTGACTGTGCTCCCGAAAACCAGCCAGGAAACCTGGGGTGGGTGAGGACAGAGAGGAAGGAGGGGGTACCCTAACCCTGGATAGACTGAGCCATAGCACATAATCCTGTTAAGATACTAACCCTCATTTCCCCGGGAGGAGAGGCAGTAGCCACGGAGATACAGCCCCTCAGAAGCAATAAAAGGCAAGCAGCTGATAAACTGGGGAGGCCACTAATGAAACCCCACGGTACAAAGGTCAGCGGGTGCCTGGCAATCAGCAGGCCACCTCCAGGGCTCTGCCCACAAGAGCCAGATGCAGTAGGAGCTGGTGCCTGCAGAGGGACAGCCAGCCAGGCTGGTGCAGGGGCAAAGAGAAGGAGTCTGGCTTTCTTAGATCCAACGGCTTGGAGTGGGACCTGGAGGAACCACCACGCAGGACCATCACGCCTCTCCACCCAAGTGCCTCTCCACCAATACCCTGCTCATAGGATAACAGCCCTCCTGAGGCCTGGATGGTCCCAAGAGCATAGTTATGAACTAGGGACCTGCTGTCCCTGCTAGCCTCTGCTGTTCCCAGACTCCTGTTCCAGAAGCATGAGGAACAGTCACTGAATTCCCCCAAGGACGTTCAGAGTGACAGCATGTCCTAGACCCTGTCTGGAAAAACATGGGATTTGTCTTGGGGACTTTTCCGTGTCTCAAAGTCTAGGTCTTCGTGATCCAGTCTCTTCCCCACGGGGAATGTCTACTCCAGCTAAGTTACACTGACTGCTTTACCACCTCCATACCCTAAAGCAAACTGTCTGCCAGCCATGACACCCCCAGAGGATATCAGACTGGGAGTCTGGGGAGCCTGCCCTGATCCAGTATGTGACACCATCCCTGGCAGCACCAAGCCAGCTGCACCAGAGGAGGAGAGAGCAAAGCAGTCAAGACAGGCCCACCTTGATGCTGTGCGGAACCTATCGAACACCCTCTACTAAATGTCTGTCCAAGCCAGGCCTTGGGCCAGGAGCTGGGGACTGTGCCGCTCAGCCTCATTGGGGGGACAGTCATTCACTAACACAGTCTACTGTAGAGAACAGGGTGCTGCCTGAAGAGCTGGACCTGTGAAGGACAGCACTAAAAGTTCCCCCAGCCATCAGCTGAGGTGGCTTTCCAGGCCTGTGCCCGTGTGTGGTTTGGCTACCCAGGACAATTGTCACCCATGCTGGTGTCAATTCTACCCAGGCTCCAGACCTCAGAGCACCAAGGATGTCCTCAGCGAGAAAAGCAGAGTGTACCTGAGCTCCTGTGTGTGCTCTGCAGATGTCCCCTACACCCAGGACAGCGTGCCACAAATGCCACGCCTGGAGTAGCAGAAGGCCCTGCTTCTCCAGGCTCACGCCTGCTGACTAAGCTGAAAGCCTGGCCACAAGAGCAGATTCATGACTTCAAAGGTGCCATTGCTGGAGGCAAAGAGCAGGCCAGATCCAGATCTGGTCTCTTGTGGGTGAGCATAAAGCATGTGGGTCTAGGCGTGCCAGAGATGAGGAAGTGCTCAACACGCACACACACACACACACACACACACACACACACACACACACACACCAGACACTTATGTACATATGCATGGGACATTCATATATAAATACATGTACACACATATCAAATATATACGCCAGTACACATATATGTAAGACATGTGCAAGCATGCATTTGTGTGTGTGTTTGCATGCATGCACATGTTTATACATGGGCACCTATGTATCTCTTCTGAATGAGAATTCTTGGGGAGAAGCAATGTCTACAGTCTGAGTGGTTAGAACCAGTGATGCAGCGAGGTTGTAGTGTTAGGGTTTGGAGCCTGATTACAATTTATCTTTGGCTACCTTTAGCCCACCCCGGTGGCAGCCCTAACATTCTGGGAATAACAGGGAAAGCCTTTTGGACTGTGTTAACTTAGCAGACCAAAATCTCAGCACATCTTCAGATAGTGTCTGAGGCCCAAAGCTGAGATCTCTGTGGCCCCCTCTCCAATGTATCTACAAATGTATTCTAAAAGCATCTTGATTTATGACTTTCTCTGTCTTATACTATAAAAACTTCATGAAACTGCTTCCACACTGGAAGACAACAGCATAAACCTGTGTTTCTGAGTCACAGCCACTCATATTTGGCTCCAGAATAAACTACCTCTTATCTATCCCCTTTGAGATGAGATTTTTGCATCAAAAATACGTGGGCTTCGAGGTTTCAGAAACTCAAGCCAGGCCCAATTGCTCACTCTCTTCCTGGTGCCTCCTGATCCAGATATAAAACTCTCAGCCCTTCTCCAGCACCATGTCTGCCTGCATGCCACCATGCTTCCCACCATAAGGATAACATACTAAACCTCTGAACTCTAAGCCAGACCCAATTAAATGCTTTCCTTTATAAGAGTTGCCATGATCATGGTGTCTCTTCACAGCAATAGAACCCTAAGACAGAGGCCCGCCCACCCTGCCCCTAGCTGGGTACTCCTCTGAGATCAGGGGAGCTGGGAGTTGCTGTGAAGACTGGGGTGGGGAGCAGTTCCCAAAGAGAGTCAACCTTCCAGGCTCTGAGGCACAGGCCTCTCCCTCCTCCATGAGGACACTGGAGGATGAAGGGAGGGGAAAGAGAGGAGCCAGGGAACTCCACTAGAGACAGAGGCCGTGCCAGGCCCACACAACCTCACGTGCAAAGTCTAGGCTGAGGACTGCCCACCTTTGGAGATGCAGAGGATAAGAGGCTGGACTGATCCTGGGACTTTGCTCCACTCCCGGTCTGAGTGTTTGTGCACCTATTCATCTGAGAGCCCATCATGGGACACTCAGCTGTCCTCCTCGCCGTGGCTCTGGCCATCCTCCCAGCTTGTGGGACTGGGGCTCCTCTCCAAAGGCAACACAAGCTACTCCTCGTATCCTTTGATGGCTTCCGCTGGAACTATGACCAAGATGTGGACACCCCTAACCTGGACACCATGGCTCGAGAAGGGGTAAAGGCACGATATATGACTCCTGCCTTTGTCACCATGACCAGCCCCTGCCATTTTACACTAGTCACTGGTGAGTGTCAGCCTCAGGATGAGGCTTGGGAATGGAGAGAGCCAGAGACATCAGGTGGCAGATGGGAGGCACCCTGGTCATTACTCTGAGGAGGGGGTCTCCAGTGGGACCCAGAGCACAGACAAGGGCCCTTTAGAAGTCTTCTTTGGTGGCACCTGGTCAAGGGCTTGCTCCACAGCTGTCCCTAGAGGGTGGTGTGCCACAGGGCCTTCAGGTGACTGTGGGCTCACAAGCCTCGACCTCAGGCTTGCTCCACACATGCCCTGCCCCTTTGCCCCATCTCAGGCAAATACATCGAGAACCATGGGGTGGTCCACAACATGTTCTACAATACCACCAGCAAGGTACGGTGGCCCTACCACACCACGCTTGGGATCCAGAGCTGGTGGGACAACGGCAGCATACCCATCTGGATCACAGCCCAGAGGCAGGTAAGACGGACGGGCCGCCCACGGGGAAACTGAGGCCATGACCAAGGGGCAGCCACACAGGCACAGGCATCGGCCTCCTGGCATAGAAAGCTACTTGGAGGGGCTGGAGAAATGGCTCAGTGGTTAAGAGCACTTGGCTGTTCTTCCAGAGGACCCGGGTTCAATTCCCAGCACCCACATGGCAGCTCACAACTGTCTGTAACTCCAGTTCCTGGGAATCTGACACCAATGCACAGAAAATAAAGTTAAATAAATTATTTTTTAAAAAAGAAAAGAAAAGAAAGAAAGCTGCTCAGTGAGCTCCTGAGGACTAAGTAGGCAGCAATCCTAGAGACCGGGACTAAGGGTGTAACTTGGTTGGCAGAGGTCTCGCCTGGCATGCATGCATCAGTCTACACCTCAGGCCCTTTGGCACTGGAGAGAAGAAGGGTCATGCTCACACTGGAGCGCTAACTGACTCAATAAGGAAAAGCTGAGCAAAAAGTCTTCCTCTGCTTCCAGTCCCACTACTAGGCATCTAGGTGCAAAAGGGCCAAAGGTTAAACAGGTGGGGTGCAATGTGAGACATCAAAGGGAGGGTTTCCAGGTGGGCACAGGGACAACCCTCAGACAAAGGCCCACATTGCCACCTCCACCCGAGTGCCTGCCTCCTGTCAGGTGGCACTTGGTCCTCAGCTCCGGAGCCAAAATACCAAGTGAGAGCTCAGCTTCCCCTGATGCTCCAGCCAGAGGAGAAAATGAAGGAGGAACCATGGGCTCATGCAAACAGGGGGTTAGAAGGACAGACAGAATGAGCAGCAAGGATTTATGGGACAGTGGATGAGTGGTGGGTGGGACAAGGTGGACAGAGGAGAAGCAGTGAAGAAAATCCAAGGCACAGCTGAGCCTCAAGGCGAGGATGCTGAAGGGTGTGGCGTATGGGGACATTTCGCATCTACAGTTAGTGCTTGAAGCCACTGGGTGCTTGACCTCTAGATGGCTTGTCCCTGCCCCTGATCTGTGAAATAAGATCCACTTCAGAAAACAAAAGGCCTCAAGGCAGTGGGCAAAAGCAGATGCACACAGAGAGAAGCAGGCAGGCTCGGGTGACGGGGAGACAAGACTCATGGAGCTTACACTACCTCATCCTACAGGGCTTAAAAACTGGCTCCTTCTTCTATCCCGGAGGGAATGTCACCTACCAAGGAGAGGCGGTGACAATGAGCCGGAAGGAAGGTATCTTTCACAATTACAAAGACGAGAAGGAGTGGAGAGAAAACGTGGACACTGTGATGAGGTGGTTCACGGAGGAGGGTGTAGACCTGGTCACCCTCTACTTCGGGGAGCCAGACTCCACTGGCCACAAATATGGCCCTGAGTCCCAGGAGAGGAAGGATATGGTGCGGCAGGTGGACAGGACTGTGGGCTACCTCCGGGACAGCATCGAGCGCCACCACCTCTCGGAGAGCCTAAACCTGATCGTCACCTCCGACCACGGCATGACAACAGTCAACAAGAATGCCAGCGACCTAGTCGAGTTCCACAAGTTCCCTAACTTTACCTTCCGGGACATCGAGTTCGAGCTCTTAGACTATGGGCCCAATGGGATGCTGATCCCCAAGGAAGGGATGCTAGAGAAGGTGTACAGTGTCCTCAAGGATGCCCACCCCAGGCTGCATGTGTACAAGAAGGAAGACTTCCCTAAGAGCTTCCACTACGCCAACAACCCCAGAATCACCTCTCTGCTCATGTACAGTGACCTCGGCTATGTCATCCATGGGGTCAGTGGGCTGCTGCATGGCTTGTGGGTGGCACCTTGATCCTGTCTATGCCCTAAGGGTTGTCGGCCACCCTAAGGACACACTGAGCACTGTGCTACAGGAGTGTGTGGTGCGTGTGTGTGTGTGTGTGTGTGTGGTGTGTGTGTGTGTGTGTGTGTGTGGTGTGTGTGTGTGTGTGTGCGTGCGCACGCGCGCACGCACTTGGGGTAAAGTGTGGGAAGCCCGGGCTCAAGGGTGGCATGAATCACAGGGGGAAAGGACAGGAAACAGAGTCCATACCAGAGAGGGACTCATAGAAGTAGCATGTATAGGCACACACCCTGAACTATGGACTCAGGCTGACGTCTCTACCCCACCCAGTGTCATAGACTCTCCCTGTGGTCCACAGTTATTCCCTGAGGCTCCTTCTTTGGGATTCTCAGAATTCGTAGGAGTCTAGAAGCGATCTTAGCACATGCTGTAAACTTTTCCTAAGGCCATCCACCCACACAGGTGCCAACCCATGGGGGGGGGGGGGCAAGGAAAGACTGGGAAGGAGGGACTGGGCACAGTGTAGTCCCAATTAATGACCCAGAACCCCTGCCTCTCCCTGCAGAGAGTGAGTGTCCAGTTCAACAAAGGTGAACATGGTTTCGACAACCGAGACATGGACATGAAGACCATCTTCCGGGCTGTGGGTCCCAGCTTCAAGGCAGGCCTAGAGGTGGAGCCTTTTGAGAGTGTCCATGTGTACGAGCTTATGTGCCAGCTGCTGGGCATTGTGCCCGAGCCCAACGACGGGCACCCTGGCACCCTGCAACCCATGCTCTGGTCAGGTGAGGCAGCGACACTCCTCCTCTGGGGTCTATGCTGGCATGCACACATCTGTGAGCCTTCAAGCTGCAACCAGGCCACCATACACACCCCAAGGGGGCTCTGAGAGAGAAGTCTGGGGGCTCATGGGGATAGCTGGGACTCCTGGTCCTCCATAACCGTGTGGCGCTGAGCTACAATCCTCTCCTTCTCTCACTGAACCTTCTGTCTTTCCTAGGGTCTGCTCTCCCGCTCAGCGGCCAACTCCACTTGGTCATGCCATTGATGGGGATCCTAATGGTTCTGGCCAAGGTCACATAATGCCCCACTCGATCAAGTTCAGAGGCCCAGAAGGCAGAGGAGGCTGGAAGGATGAAACCAAGACTCTCCTGCCCCCTGCTTCTCAGCCTGAAGTCCCCTCCCCTGCAGGACACCTCCCAGTTCCCTGCCCTTCCCCTCCCCGACTTCACCCACCCCCACCTCCTGCCCAGCAGCCAGGATGCAGCTTCTGGATGATTCCACCATACTGGTGACTCCAAGCAGCCTGGAAGCCAGAGAGCCGTGCACTCTTGGGGTCCCTTCCAGAATAGGGTGACAGGACACCCCACAAAGCAGACAGGCCATCAGGCGCCCCTCCCCCACAGGTCCTGTAGCTGTCACCCACTCCTTCCTGCCACCATCCAGAGCTCCAGTGGCGAGGACTCCGAACCTCACTCTGAGCTGGTTTCAGGAGAACTACAAAGGTAGCTGGTTCCAGAGTGCCCGGGAGGCAGCCTCACTCTGAGGACATCCCAGCATGAGATGTGACAAAACCACCCTGTTTCTCTGTCCTGTGCAGTCCAAAACCCTTGGCCAGAGCAGAAGAAAGTCACTCAGTTCTTCTAGAAACACAAAAGAGGACCCTACTCAATGCCAGGCTGGCGGGGCTGTGGCTCTGGGGTAGAGCCTCTTGCCACATGCAGAGGGTCCTCGGCTCATCCTCAGAGCCACAAAAAAAAGAAAGAAAAAGAAAAGTGGACCTAGCTCTGGTGTTTGTAACAGAGGGCACAAGAAGTGGCGGTGCTCACCCAGCCCATGCCAGTGCCCACAAAGACAATGGCAGAAAAAGGAGGCAGAGGCAGGCGAGGGCTGCACTTGGGATCCCTGGCCCTAGGCCTCTGGGTGGGGTGGGGTGCCTGGGGTGGGGTGCCTGGGGTGGGGGGCTGAGAGATGCCCATGCCCAGCACAAGGTGGAGCAGGGAATTCCAGGCACATGGGGCTTGACAAGCTTCTGAAAGTGAAAGAGGCCAGTGAGTTGGAAGGCTATGTGCAAAATTCCTATGTGCAAGGGAGGGTGTGTGCAAGATGCTTGTGTGCAAGGAAGGGTGTGTGCAGGGTTGAGTACCCAAGGGAGGCCCTGGTGGGTGGAGTGGGGCTCTGACCCAGGGCAGAACCAGTGAGGAGATTAGGTCACTCCAGGGCCAGGCAAGACACTCAGGCAGGCAAGGAAGGGTAGAGGTCATCTAAGGATGACAAGCTGAGGACACCTTTAGGAGGCTGAGCATTCAGGATGGGGCAGACCCTGGGTGCAGAGGACAAGAACAGACAGATGAAGGGTGGCCTGAAGTTTGGTCCCATAGTGGCATTGGCACACACGATGTGAAGATGCTGGGGAGGACCAGGGACCCAACTTGTTTTCATTCAGGTCCACCCTCCCATGCCTGTCAGGCATCCACTTGAAGCCATAGCAGGACAACATTGTGTACTCAGGAGCTTGACACCCAGTGTAGCTTGGGCTAGCATTTCACACATAAGGCTCATCGGGAGAGTGATGGCATGTCAGACCATGGGATCAGATTAGAGTCCCCTGCCAGAGGGCAAAGATGAGGAGAGATAGGGACCAGTCTCTTACTGAGAAGACACACACAGAGTACAGGTGGGAGGGAGGTCAGGGATGCTGGATCTAGAAGGGATTCCAAACAGCTTTCCACCCAACTCCCTCTGCACAACGCCTGCCCATTCTTGAAGGGTAAATTCTCCCATACCATGGTTGGTGGCTGCCAACTCGAGGTCACTTCAGGGAATTGCTGGTACCAGAGTGTAAACTCAGCACAGAGCTAAATGGTACAGGCTCAGCACACGAGCTAAAAACACTGTGATCCCAGAACAGGCCAGTGCCCTTCCACCAGTTTCTTCTTCAAAGGTTCCACGCACACACTTGCCACTGGGGAATGGATGTCACCCTGCACACGGCAGCCCTCCACTGCCTCTGGATGGAGTCTGACAGGGGAACAGGAGGCCTCAGCACCTCTCCATCCTGAGGTGTGTGCACTCCAGAGCCAGACCTGGAGAAGGGCCCCTTCCCAGTCACCCTCCAACAGAAGAGTCTAGACCAACCTTTTAACATCACAATACAACAGGTTCACATGAAATTAAGTCACCAAAATAAATCCACAAACAAATCTCATGTTTTGGTTATGTTTATGATTCTTTGTGCATGCAGCTCATGGAGTCACAGATTGGACACCCCTAGTCTAGAGCCTCCAAAACCATCCCCCCAAAACAACCTGGGAGAATTTGCCTGTGTCCTGCAGGATCCAGCTGGGAGTCACTAGCGTCAGGGAGGCTGGCTCTCTGTGACCTTCCCACTCAGCTCCCCTCTCGTCTCATCTCTGATTTATCTCCTCCAGAGACCCGTCTCCCCTGCGCCAAATCATGATACCTGTTTTTCCAAGAAGCTTCTAGAAACTGTCTCTTGGCTGCAAGCAACCTGTCAAACTCTGCACTAGACAGGCATGGATCCAGCCTCCCCAGCTTACCAAAGCCTCCCCCACCCCTATGGTGTCAGCTCTCAAGCGCCCATTACAGGGCTGGCAATAAGACCACCTACCCAGCTTTACCACTCTAAACCAACCGCCAGCACGATCCTCAACCCCCTCCATCACAAAGCCCTCCCCCTGGAAACAGCGCTGTCCCCTGTGTCCTCGTGGGGGCATGCTGTAGCCTGGTCAGGGCAGGGTACTGGACAGTAGAGGGCGCTCTGGTCCCTGGTCTTTTGTGAGAGTCAGACTCTCCAGAGCATCTGCAGCTTTGGGCTTCTGACATCTGCCACAAGAGGGCGCTGTCCAGTAAAACACCCTGGGAATAGGGCGCAAGTCCCATTGCTGACACCCAGACAGTGCAACAGTTGCAGGAGCCAATATGGGGAGAGTGACCCAAAAGGGTGTGTCCTAAATAGCTAAGCCCTTAAGTTAGTGGCCAAACACAGCAGAAGCGGTTCCTTCTTGCTTCGAGGTAGGCCCCTTTGGCTGGCCAGGCCAATCCTGGCACAAGGGTGGGCTTTGCACTAAAAGAGGAAAAGGAATGAGGAGGCCCTTTGTGAGCTGACAGGGAGCTAGTGTTGTCCGTGGGCCACAGCGCTCAGCAAAAACATACAAGGTGGGAAGCGCAAACACAGTCAGGGTGACTGGCTCCGGGTGCAGGGCTGGGTGGCCAGGGCCTGCAGCGGGAGACCTATTCATTTTCCATATTGAGAGCTGTGTCTGGGTGGCATGGGTTCCAGTAGTCAAACATGTCCCTAGCCTGGCCCCCAACAGGCAAGCTCTCCCAGGACTGGCTTCCTGGCTGGAGTTGTTTCTCTGTGTCAGTATAAGAACTGACAGCCCTCCAAGGGAAGACAGCACCACACACCATACACACACATACATACACACCAGTATCCAAGACAGTGATCAATGTGACGTAGACAAGGGATTGTCACCATTCTGCTGCCTGTGATGGGCAGGCCCAACTCCCTCCAGAATGACTCCCACTGTGACTATGCCAGATAAGCTCTTTAGGCAACAGATTCTGGGACAGGAGGCTGTGCCCCTCCTGTATCTTCTACTTCTGCGCTTGGCTTTAGCTTTTGTACCTGGGACCTGGACTGACCCTTACCAGATACCTGGAACCAGGTCCTGATCAGCCCAAGGATTACTTAGGCTCCTGACCCCAGAACAAATGGGGTTCTGAGAAGACTAACACACTCACACTTCCACTGCCTATGGATGCACAGTGGAGTGGAGCACACCACACACACCACACACACACATACACACACACACACACACACACACACATACACATACACACACATACACACACATACACACACATACACA